GACCATGGCAGGTTGGCGCGTGAAAGCGGCGCTTCTGCAACGGGTGCGCAGCTGGGCCCTTGAGCTGATCACCGCAAGCCCTCAAGCAGTGGCGAAGCGTCCTGGCGTGCCTATAGTCCTGCCAAACAACCAAACAATGTGCTAAGAACCTGTTGTGGTTTCCACAAAATGTTCTTAGAACATTTCTGGCAGAGTCTGTCTCGTTTGATCACATCGGGTTTTCGTTTTAAGAACATCGTTCTGGTTCTTAGAACATTGTGGTGTTCTACGAACATTTCGTGGTAGGATTATAGGAATGCAGGGACGGTCGGTCCCTGCTCAAAGTCCGTACAGTTTCCTGGCCGGGGCCCCCTATAGGCCGCGCCAGGGGAGGGGTCCTACCGCCACCCCGGTTTCATATGAGGCACTTCCCGCCTTGCGGGTTGGGCCTTTAGGGCGCTTGTGGCCTCGGGGCCCGGACGAACCCTCGTCCGAAAAGGTTCGCATGTTCCACCTCCTCTTTCCCCCTCCTCCCCTCCTCCTCCTCCTCCTCCTCCTCCTCCTCCTCCTCCTCCTCCTCCTCCTCCTCCCTCCTCCTCCTCCTCCTCATCCATTCCTTTTCCTTATAACTATTTTTCCCTGTTCCCTCCCGAGGCCAGTTTTTAGGGCGGGCACGGCGTTTCGCCTGAGACCTTCTCACCACTTATGGCTCTGAATATTCAAATTTGGCAACGGTTCCACAGATGGAGGACGGGTGACTTTCAAAATGTGGCTCTCGCCTGAGCGCGGCGCGGATTCGTTTTAAACATTCGCAAGAGTTTCACGGATTGAGGCCGGGTGGTTTTCAAAATGTGGTGCTCGCCTTACCGCGGCGCACATTCGCTCTAACAAATTGCAAGAGATCTACGGAGTTGAGGGCGGGTGGTTTTAAAAATGTGGCTCTCGCTTTCAAGCCTAGCGCCGCGCACGTTTTTTTTTGTTTATTTATTAGACTGTTTTTAAACATGCAGGAGTTTCATGGATTGAGGGCGGTTCCTTTTCAAAATGTGGTTCTCGCCCTAGCGTTGCGCACATTAGTTTTACAAAATTCGCAAGAGATTTACGGATTGAGGGCGGGGGATTGTCAAAATGTGGTTCTCGCCTGAGCGCCGCGCACATTCGTCTACGACGTTCGCAAGCATTTGACGGATTCCCATCATCAAAATACCAGAGATGGTGTTTTGAAAAGATTCAGGTTTTCGCGGGCGCAACAGTTACGTTGATTCGTTGTACTGAAGGAACGGCGTTCTGGCACGATTCAGGATTGACAACACGCAAAACAGGTTGATCCGTGGCGTTGGAATCCCGAGAGCAATGTTTTGGCATGCTTAAGGGTCTTCAAACGGTTGTTTTCCAAGGAATGGAAATGAACCGTTGTAGGGGCCGATGAACAGGGATCTTGGAGGGAGGGTTTATACCAACATCGTTGATGATTATTTGGTTTACACTGGTCCTCCTCCTCCTCCTCCTCATCCTCCTCCTCCTCCTCCTCCTCTCCTCCTCCTCCTCCTCCTCCTCCTCCTCCTCCTCCTCCTCCTCGTCCTCCTCCTCATCCTCCTCCTCCTCCTCCTTCTCCTCCTCCTCCTCCTATTCCTTGTCCCTGAGAAAGGCTGCAGCGCCACTTGCAGGCACAGCGGGCATGCTGCAGGGCGAGGAGGCGGGAGGGGGCCTGTAACGTCACGCTTCGCGCCGGCACCGTCTGGGAATGCCGAGGAGTGGCTAATTCCCAGACGGTGCCAGCGCGAATCGCGACGTTACCAGGGGTGGGGGGGGGGGGTAGGGGGGGGGCGGGGCTAGTGATTGCCGCTATCGCGAACCATGCAAACATTGGCGTTTGTTTCGTTGCTGCTTGTTGCCACCACCGACAATGTGAGGAGCCCATGGAAATTGCTGGGGCGAGCTCTGGCCTACACTGCCGTACATGTCGGCATTGGGCTGACCATGTTTGGCTAACATCCGGTTGGGAAGGGAGACAGCCAATGAAACGCCGTCGCCGCGCAGGGAGGCGAGCGCCAGGATCACCGAGGCGCTTGAACGCGACGCTTGACAGTTTACGTGATCGTCGGAGTGTCGATGCAGAGTTTTTCCGGGATCCTCATGAGTGCCCGCACACGGGGCCACGAGTCCGACAAGCGCCCGACGTGTGCGACGGTCATGCCGTCCTCGAGACCACGGATAACATTAGATGGAGAATTTAGGAAGGGAGGAGGTGGATGAGGAGGAAAAGGAGGAAGAGGGGGATGAACAGTGGGCGCGTGGTATCCTTGACGCGCGCAGAAGAGGTCCACCAGGAGAGGGAACGCATGCACCGGTAAGGCCTTTCGGGGCGTGATGGGACATGTCGAGGGCGTTTGGATGTCTCTTTTGGACCTGTGGTGGTTTTCCTTGGGCCTCTGGGGGGACCCTGGGTCCCTGCCTGCGGTTTCGGTCGTACTCTTGGGGTGGAGGGTTCGAAAGGTGAGTTCGACTTAATTCGGCGTTTCTATCTTGGGCGTGTCTGGCGACCCTGTGGGGGTCCTATTTGACCGTCTCGGGCGCCTCCTGGGCCGTTCTGGGGCCTTCCACCGTGGTTCTGATACATTCAGGAGGGCTTGTCGGGCCCTTTCGGGGCGAGTCATCGTGCCTATTGAGCTGCCTTGGACGCTGTGAAGACGAAGGGGGCGAACGTGTTGAACAGATATAATTTCCAAAGACGTTGGGGCGATGCGTGCCTCTTAGGAGAATTGTGGGGGTCCTTTTAGAGCTCTCTGGGGGCGTCTTCGATGCCTTTTGGGCCGTCTTGAAGTTACTGTGGGTAGCGTTGACGCTTCTCCTGCGCTAGGCACCTTTGAGGCCACGAAATTAGGATTCGGAGGCTCCCCGAGGTGCGTTGGCGAGCTCGTGTCCACCCCCCGGATGGTGGGTGTGGGGGCCCACGCGAGACATGGGGCCCGTGCGGAGGGGAAAAGGGGAGGGGGACAGCCAATTATCTCACACGCTTCGTCACCCCTGGCAAGCGGGGTCGGCGGATTGTGGATTCCTTCAACCAGTGCCCAGAGTGCTTTTCAAGCGAACTGTCTCCCACGAGGCTCGCACCATGGTTTTTAAGACGGGCTTGAGGCTCAAACTTGGTTCTTGGTCCCTGGACAACAACAATCTGTTTAAGACTGTTCGCTCTTACCTGCGCGAGTGGTCATCCGACCCTTTCACAAACCCTCTGCCGACGTGCAGGCGGAGGCGACCTGCCTGTCAGGGTCCAGCTCCTCGCGCGCATGGAGGTCCGCTCGCCCGTTCCGATGTCCCGCCTGCCTGGCACGCCCACTGTACATCCCCAGGACGAAAGTTTTTTCCTCTTGGGCCCGGAACGACGGTGTGAAGTCTTGAGCAGAGCCGTATGAGATAACCGCCGTCGGATCCCATGAAGTTCGCGCGGATCCAAGTGTGGTTTTGGTGTTTGTGTCGGTGGATCCGATTTCCGTCTGTACGGATCCGATTTCGGATTCGCTGGATCCGTGACCGGTCTTATTTTTTACGGCGCATCCGACTTCTACCTTGTTTTAAATTTATAGTATTGAATTAAACCAGGGGGCCGGAAGAAATCGGATCCGCGGACCCCGCAAACCGCCCGTGTTAAGATTCTATGGGGGAGGGGGGTTCGGTAATCAACTTTCCACGATGGGCCCTGCGTCGTCTCGCGCACCCCCATCAACTCCTCGCGCGAGCGGGCTCCATTCAACATGTATACATCCCTCCCCCCCCCCGGTTGCTGCAAACAGCTCGTCCGGTCGCCGTCCGTTCGGCGGCGCCGACGTTGTCTCGCGAACTCCTCATGGCCATTTTCACCTCAAGGGGAAAATCTCTCGTCCTGCGTAAGTGCGTTTCGGGCCTGCGTCTCCTCACCCAAAGAACTGCCTGTGAGATGTGGTGTCGGTTGCGTGGTAACCAACAACGGACTGCCTGTGAGATGTGGTGTGTCGGCTATGTGGTAACCAACAACGGACTGTCTGTGAGATGTGGTGTGTCGTCTATATGGTAACCAACGAGTCCGAAGGCCAAAACGAGATGTGGTGTCGGTTGCGTGGTAACCAACAACGGACTGGCTGTGAGATGTGGTGTGTCGGCTATGTGGTAACCAACAACGGACTGTCTGTGATATGTGGTGTGTCGTCTATATCGTAACTAACGAGTCCGAAGGCCAAAACGCTCATCCCCAGGACGAAAGTTTTTTCCTCTTGGGCCCGGAACGACGGTGTGAAGTCTTGAGCAGAGCCGTATGAGATAACCGCCGTCGGATCCCATGAAGTTCGCGCGGATCCAAGTGTGGTTTTGGTGCTTGTGTCGGTGGATCCGATTTCCGTCTGTACGGATCCGATTTCGGATTCGCTGGATCCGTTTCCGGTCTTTTTTTTACGGCGCATCCGATTTCTATTTTGTTTTTAAATTTATATTACTAAATTAAGCCAGGGGGCCGGAAGAAATCGGATCCGCGGACCCCGCAAACCGCCCGTGTTAAGATTCTATGGGGGAGGGGGGGTCGGTAATCAACTTTCCACGATAGGCCCTGCGTCGTCTCGCGCACTCCCATCAACTCCCCGCGCGAGCGGGCTCCATTCAACATGTATACATACATCCCTCCCCCCCCCCGGTTGCTGCAAACAGCTCGTCCGGTCGCCGTCCGTTCGGCGGCGCCGACGTTGTCTCGCGAACTCCTCATGGCCATTTTTCACCTCAAGACAAAAATCTCTCGTCCTGCGTAGGTAGGGTCCGCCCGCCCGACGCGCCCGTTGGAGCTGGCCTGCCCCCGTGGGGTCTGGCTGCGATGTTTTCTGCTCTTCTCGGCGCCCCTTCTGCTAAGCCTTTTTTGCCCTAAATCCTCCCTCCTTCCTCCAGCCCGCTATGCTTTCCCCGACGCCCCTTCTGCTAAGTCTGTTTTGCCCTCAATCCTCCCTCCTTCCCCTGGCCCGTTAGAGCCGACCCGCCCGACCCGCTGGTCAGGGCCCGCTTGCCAAAACGATTGTTCTCCTGTCCTCCTCGTCTTCCTCCTCATCCTCCTCCGACTAGTACATGTTATCCGCCCTCAATATTCCTCCCTGCCTCCTGCCCCCCTCCTTTATCGTTTTCTCCTCCCTCCCTGTCCGTCCTCCTAGCTCATGGGCCGCACCAACTACACGGGGCGTGCAATCAGGGTGTAATCCCGAAGGGGTTACGATCGAAAACGAAAATGGTGGGCATTGACGGTCGGGGTATACATGTTGAGTGATACGTGAGTGACGACGAGCGGACGGCCTTGCATTGACCAGTGTTCTTTATGCTGCATCTTAGGTTACCAACAACCATTGCGGTTAGACCCCCTCGATCCGCTCTGGCGCTCTCTTCTTGGCGCCGGCGGCATTTCTTTCGAAAGCGAGAGTCATTATCTAGCGTTTCGGGGTTGCGCCCAAGCCGGCCCCCAACAACAGCTCTATTGCTTTACTTCCTTTCGTCCAGGACCTGTGCTCCAGCTCGCGGCCAAAAGCTGGCCTTCCAACGCGAAACCAGCGCTCCCGTTCCATACTTGCCATTGTTTGTTATCAAGAGTGGCGCTTTCATTTCGTCGCCGAACATCGGCCTCTGAAATATCAACGCTCTCGCTCGATGCCCGTTTTACTCACGACTGGCGCTCTTGCTCACCGGCGACAGCTGCCCCTCCAAAAAACCAGCGCTCCCGCTATATGTGTGGTAGTTTTTCGCTCGGGAGTTGCGCTCTCGCCCCCGCGTTGCAAGCACCCCTCCCTACAGCAAAAGCGCTCGCGCTCGAGACTTTCCTCACGATTTGCTGAGGACCGGCGCTCTTGCTCGCTGCCGACAGCCAACCCTGCAACAACATCAACGTTCTCGCTCGAGGTTTCCTCGTTTTTCACTCAGGAGAGGCGTTCTCGCCTCGTCGCTGAAAGACTGTCACACTCGACGATTGCATGGCATATCTCTCCAAACAGATTTGCCGACTCATCTCATCCAAACGTGCTCGGTCGATTGAAGTGTATCTCGCATCTCGAAGGTGGAGGCCTGCCATAGTAAGTACGCGAAGTCAGGCGTCGGAAGACAGCATATTTCGAGCCAGGAAGAGGAAAGAGGGAGGGAGGCAGGGCGGGCGGGCGGGAAGGCAGGGAGGGGAAGGAGGGGAGGAGGAGGAGGAAGGGAGGAGCAGGAGGCGAGAGGATGAGGAAGAGAATGAGAGTGAGAATAATGAGCAGGAAGAGGAGGATTATGATGATCCTGGTGATGATGATGATGCTGATGCCGATGCTGATGATGATGACGATGATGATGATGATGATGATGGTGATGCTAGTGATGCTAGTGATGCTAGTGATGATGCTGATGATGATGGTGATTATGGTAGTAATGATACTGGTAATGATGATGGTGATGATGATCATGCTGGTGACGATGATGATGATGATGATGATGATGATGATGGTGATGATGGTGATGGTGATGGTGATGGTGATGGTGGTGGTGATGAGGATGATGAGGATGATGAGGATGCGGGTGATGATGATGCTGATGATGATGATGATGATGTTGGTGGTGATGATGATGTTGATGGTGATGGATTATGATAATCATCATGGTGTTGGTGATGGTGATGAGGATGAGGATGAGAAGGATGCTGGTGATGAGTATGATGATGATGACGAGGAGGAGGAGGAGGAGGAGGAGGAGGAGGGGGAGCGGGAGGAAGAGGAGGATGAGGAGGAGGAGGAGGAGGGAGGGAGGGAGGGAGTCGAAGAGGAGGAGGAGGAGGACCAGTGCAAACCCAAGGCTCATCAGCAATGTTGGAATCCACTCTCCCTCCAAGCTCCCGCCGCATAGGCCCCTACAAGGGTCCATGTACACTGATGGAAGTGCCCCGTTTGGGGACAGCCGTAAGAAAATTCTGAAGCGTGCCAAAACACCAATCTCAAGACGTCAGCGCCACGAGTCAACCTACTGTTGCGTCTTGACGGTCCTGAATCGTGCCAGAACACCAAGCACCGCGAATCAACGTAATCGCTGCGCTCTGACAATCCCGAATCGCCCGAAAACGACCTCTCTGTTACGGGAGCCAGGGGAACAAGTGAATTGCTTGCAAACGTTGGAAACTAATGTGCGCGGCGCCGAGGCGAGATCCACATTTTTGAAAAGGAACCACCCTCACTCCGTGATGCCTTGGCAGCAGTATATAAAACGAATGTGCGCGGCGCTGAGGCGATAGCCACATTTTGACAACCACCCGCCCTCAACCCGTGAAACTCTGATAAATGTTTGGAGCGAATGTGCGCGTCGTTCAGGCGAAAGATACATCTTGAAAACCACCCGCCTTCAATCCGTGAAATTCTTGGTATTTGTTTTAGACGAATGTGTGCGGCGCTAAGGTGGCCTGCCCTCAATCTGTGCATGTGCTTTTTGTTTTTAAGCTTCAGGCTCAAAACCCGGTAAGGAAGTCTCAGGCGAAACGCCCGGCCCGCCTTTCCTTTTGGCTTCGGGGTGCGACAGGGAGGAGTTATTCAGAAGGAAAAGGAATGGATAAAGAGGAGGAGGGCGAAGAGGAGAGGAGGAGAAGAAGGAGCGAGGAGGGGGAGGCGGAGGCGGAGGCGGAGGACGAGAAGGAGGAGGACGAGAAGGAGGATGACGAGAAGGAGGAGGAGGAGGAGGAGGAGGAGGAGGAGGACCTCGATCCCCGCAAGGACTGCGAGGGCCCGCTCGAACGCGAGTGCGCGATGCTGCGCCGCGAGTGCGCGGGGCTGGACGCGGAGCTGCGACGCACCCAGGCTCGGGCCCGGAAGCTGCCGCAGGATGTGGATGATGAGGATGTTGATGACGATGCTGATGATGCTGATGATGATGATGATGATGATGATGATGATGATGATGATGATGACGATGATGATGCTCATGCTGATGCTGATGTTGATGCTGATGCTGATGCTGATGATGCTGATGCTGATGCTGATGCTGATGATGCTGATGCTGATGCTGATGCTGATGCTGATGAGGAGGAGGAGGAGGAGGAGGAGGAGGAGGAAGAGGGGCTTGCGCCTGGGACCAACTCCAGGCTTGGCCAGGCGTTCCCCCTGTCCTCGCTTGTCTCATGTCCCCTCCCCATTCCCCCGGCCCTGCCTCTGCCTTCCTCGACTGGGTTGGGTCATCCTGTGAGTGTCCCCCTTTCTTTGTAGTCGCTGTGTGTCGGCTGTCCATCGAATGCTCAGTCACACCTGAGTCGCTCAGTCGCTGAGGAGGCGGAGGCGGAGGAGGAGGAGGAGGAGGAGGAGGAGGAGGAGGAGGAGGAGGAGGAGAGGGAGGGGGAGGAGAATTGTGGTGTAGCGCTGCTGCCTTGAAGGGTAGGCATAACAATTTCTGTATCGGGCGGAGCACATTGGCTCACCCATCCTTGTAAGTCGGTGCCAGTGAAGGCCTTCCGATTGCACCTGAAATGGTTGTCGATATGCGTTTGACGCATGCCTTGGCAGCCACCTCTTCCAGTTCAAGCTTTCGGCCCGTGCAGCGCAGGAGAGCGACGCCTCTGCTGCAAATCGCGCCTCGAACAAGTCCCTCTTGAAGCGCACCTGCCAAAGCTACGGGTACGGGGATGCGTCCTGCTTCGGGTCCGCGCGGATGTGTATCTCAGGAGGAAAAGAAACACACAGACACAATTAATCCTCGATTCCCCAGAAAATATGGGAAAATATGGGAAGTGGGGGGGAAGACAAAAACCCAGAAAATATGTGAAATTTTGGGAATATGTTTATTTGTGTGTATTTATTTGTGTGTCCTGGGGCCACTTCAGTATCGACCCCGAGCAAGTCTATAGCGTTCCTTCGATCGAGGGTTCTGCACTTGAGGTCGACGGGGGGACTCTCTTCTCTGCCGGCTCAAGCCCCAGGCCGGAGTGTTATACAGTTTCGGCTCCAAGGGGATGCAGGTGGAGGCCAAGGAGGAGGCCGGGGAGGGACAGACACGAACTACAGCCGCTCATCGCTACCTCCTCGAAGTCGCTGGCTTGTTCGAAGGATGTGTTCGCCGTGATGCCCAGATACCTTTTCGCAGCAGCATCTGCAGTTGCCGCCACGATCGCCACCGCAGCAACAGGCTTTGCCTGGCGATGCGCCTCCGGTTGAGGTTGTAGAGGCTGCGGCCATCTAGCTGCCCGTCGCTGGTCAAGGCTGACATTTTGATGGACAAGCTTGTTCGGATAAGTATTGCTCAGGATCAGATTCCACCCGGTTCGGCCAGTATCAAAGGCGGCAAGAATTTGGTTGACCGTTGAGCCGGCGATGCCCGAACGCATGGGGGGGGGGAAGCAGGGCGCGGACGGCCGGGGGGCGAGAGCAGGGGAGGCTATAGACCGGGCCCCGGTTGCTGCTTCGGGCAGTCGGTGCGATCCGCTGGCGCGACGCGAACACGGCCCAGAGGGGCACCACGAGGCGCGACGAGGGAAGACAAGGAGGGGCGCGCGAGGAGGTCGAAGCACCTGCGCGTGCAGGGGGCGCCGCCTGCGGCGGCGGGCGCCTGCCAGTGAGACGGCTGGGGGTTAGCAGTAGCGGCCCTTGACGGAGCAGGTCCGCAGCGAGGCAAGAAGGGCACCCACGCCGCAACGGACTCATGAGGAAGGAGGGGGGCGGGACAGATCAGCGCAGCAGGGGCGCCTGTGCGAGACGCGCAGGGTCTCGGTGCTTTTTGTTGTTAGCTGCGGCAGTCCTGGACCTGGTTTGGGACTCCGAATTTGGCAATGGTGCTGGCAGGGGGTGCCGATGGCGACCAGTCGAGGGCCCGGAGGCAGGGGGGAACGCGCATCAGAGGGCACCTGGAGTGTGCAGAGGCGCCGCCGGGAGGGAGAGGAACGAGCCCAGGGCGGGAGAGTCGAGCAGGAGGCCTCCTCCCGCTTCGCATGGGGGGGGGGGGGGAGCCGCGCCCGACGCGGGGCGCCGGCCCCAGGGGCGTGGTCCGTCTGTCTGCGGCGCCCCGCACTGCCACGCAGGCGAACAGCCCGGCGTGGGGCGGGGAGGCACCGATCAAAGCAGCAGCGCGTGGGGCGCTCCTGCCTGGCGCCCGAGGCGGCGTGCCTCATCCCAGGTGCCCCGCGGCGGGCGGCCGCGGCGGCCGGCGGCGCCGCCCGCCCCGCGCGCCTATCGGCGACGGGCCCCTCGGCCTGCCCGCGCCGCTGGGGCCGAGCGGCCCGCCTCCTCGGCCTCCTCCTCCTCCTCCTCCTCCTCCTCCTCCTCCTCCCTCCTCCTCCTCCTCCTCCTCCTCCTCCTCCTCCTCCTCCTCCTCCTTCTCCGCCTCTCGGGCCGCGCGCCGGGCCGCCTCGGAGCGCTGCGCCTCGGGCGCCGCGCGGGGGGGGGCATTCGAGTCGGGCCTGTCCCTCTACAGGGGGGGAATGTCAGTCTGGTGATGTTTTTTTCTAGCATTTTCTGGCCATTTGGGAATCTGTTTCGAGCATATTCGTTGTGCTTCGTCGCAGGTCCCCCTGTAGGGGGACGCGCCCGACTTGAGGTGGCATCCCCTGGCGGGGGCGGCGCGGCGCAGCGGCCTGGCGGTCGGAGGTCCTGCCGCTGCACCCCGCGCGGAGTCCCAGCAGCGCTCGGAGATTGATACACATCCTATCCTGACACGGCGATCAGCGAATTTCAGGAGGGAAAAAAACACACAGACACAATTAATCGAGGATCCCCAGGAAAATATGGGAAAATGTGGGAAGTGGGGGGGAAGACAAAAACCCAGAAAATATGGGGAATATTTTTATTTGTGTGTATTTATTTGTGTGTCCTGGGGCCCCTTCAGAATTGGCCGCTTTCGATTCGCGAGAGGGCGTCGCGGCCGTCATTTTTGCGGGTCCAGGCCCGCCGGTTTCGGTCCCAGGCCGTTTTCACCAAAGGGTGTTTTGTTAAAGGGAGGCGTGTCCACCGCTGGAGCACGCGGGGGCCGCTTGCGCAGCAGCCGCAGGTCGCGCAGCAGACCAGCGCGCTGCCACTTTCGCCGAGGGTCCACAGGCGGTGGCTCTGCGCCATGCTGGCGTTCCACCAGCGCGGTCTCGCTGCCGCTGGCGGCTCGGCCTCGGCTGCCTCCGCTGCGGCCGCCGCCGCCCGCCCCGCGCCCTTCGCCGTCGGCGGTCGGTGTCCTCCCCCCATGTGCCGCCCTCTGCCCTGCCATCGCTCGGACGTGTGCATTTTTCCTTCGGCGAGGACCCTCGAGGAGCATCCTTGATCATTTGGCGAAAAGGCCACGCACGAAATCTAAACAGAACGCGGGGAATGGACGTCCGAGCGATGGCCAGCTGCTGCCGCCTCCGCCGCTGCTTGCGCCGGAGGGTGCCGCCATCTGGCCCGCGTCGCCGCGGCGGCGGCCCCTGCGGCTGCGCCCGCGGCTCCTCCGCCGCCGCCCGCGCCGGAAGTGTCCGTGCAGAACGGGTCGTGCTCGGTCGGGTCGCTGCCGTCCCACAGCTTCGGCCCCGCCCGCTGGCCGTCGTCGGCGTCGCCCGCGTGGCGGTTGCCATCGCCGCCCGCGCCGGAGCTGTCCGTGCAGAACGGGTCGTGCTCGGTCGGGTCGCTGCCGTCCCACAGCTTCGGCCCCGCCCGCTGGCCGTCTTCGGCGTCGCCCGCGGGGCGGTTGCCATCGCTGCCCTCCGCGCCGTGGTCGGGCGGCGGTCCGCTGGGCGGACCCGCGTCGGGGCGGGGCTCGCAGCTGCCGTCGCTGGCGGCCATGAGCTGGTCGACCGTGGTTGCGGCCGTGCCTCGGCGCGCGCGGGTGCTGCCGGTCTCCGCTAGGTTCTGCGCCTGGGGGGGGGTGCCAGAGCCCCCACATCTCGTCGTCCTCGTGATGATGCTGATGGCTGATGGCTGATGGCTGATGATGATGATGATGATCATGATCATGATCATGATCATGATCATGATCATGATCATGATCATGATCATGATCATGATGATCATGATGATCATGATGATCATGATGATGATAATGAGGAGGATGAGGATGATGATGGTGATGATGATGATGCTGATGTCGATGTTGATGTTGATGTTGATGTTGATGGTGATGTTAATGACGGTGGCGATGATGATGATGATGACGAAGATGATGATGATGCTGCTGATGATGGTCATGATGATGGTCATGATGATGATGACGATGATGATGCTCATGCTGATGCTGATGCTGATGTTGATGATGATGCTGATGCTGATGCTGATGCTGATGATGATGATGGTGGTGATGATGATGATGATGATGACGACGACGATAATGATGATGCTGAAGATGATGGTGGTGCTGGTGACGATGATTATGATGATGATGATGATGATGCTTGCAATGACGATGACGATGGTCAGCCAGATGGTGATGATGGGGATGATGAGGATGGTGATGATGCTGATGTTGATGTTGATGATGTTGGTGATGATGAAGACAACGATCATGATGATAATGCTGATGATGTTGATGATGATAATGATAATGGTGATGCTGACGGTGATGATGATGATGATGATGCTGCTGGTGATGGTGATGATGACAAAGACGATGACGATGGTCATTCAGATAGTAATGGTGGGGATGATGATTATGATGATTCTGATGCTGATGATGATGATGTTGATGATGACGATGATGGTAATGATGATGACGATTAGGATGCTGATGATGATGCTGGTGATGATGATGAGAATGATGATTGGGATGATGATGAGGAGGAGGAGGAGGAAGGGGATGGGGATGAGGATGAGGATGATGATGATGCTGATGATGATGATGCTGATGACGATGATGATGATGATGAGGAGGAGGAGGAGGATAATGATGATGCTGATGCTGATGCTGATGATGTTGCTGATACTGATGCTTATGCTGATGATGATGATGATGATGATGATGATGGTGGTGGTGGTGGTGATGATGATGATGATGATGATGATGATGATGATGATGATGATGATGATGACGATGATGATGATGATGATGATGTGAAGGTGATGAGGCGACGACGACTACGACGACCTTCTTCCTCCTTTCTCCTGCCTCCCTCCTCTCTCTTTCCTCCGCTCCCTCCTCCCAATGCCTCCCTCACCCAGCCTCCGTAGCCATTTTGGCTCAAGGCTCATGCTGTTGCGGGCTGAGCCCGTATTGGCATTCACGGATACCGCTAGTCCGCGGCAGTGCCAGAGCGCTTGCGCTCGACGGTTTCTTCGCCTACACCGAGGGGTTGGGCTCCCTCACCAGTGTCGTCGCCACGACTAGGCTGTGCGCTGGTCGGTGGCTAGTGTCTCTCCTGTGGTGCTGTGCGCAATGGGACCCAAGCAGCGTGTCGAGAACGCGCAGCCCTGGAAGTGCAAGTGGTGCGTGCACAAGCCCACGGGGACAGCTTGGATCAATCGTGCTGACCACAAGTGGTGCGCGCTATGCAACTTGCCCAAGGGGTCGGCGTTCGGAGGAGTGCCGCCGCCCAAGGTCCCCGTGGCGCGCAGCCCAGCGTTGCAGTCTCAGCGTGAAGTTGCCCTGGCACGACAGCTCGCCGACCTTCAACGCCAGTTGCAGCAGTTGCAGCAGCCGTCGGCTGACACCGGCGCCGCGTCTGCTCCAGTCCCGCCCTGGGCCACCGACGCCAGTCCTCAGGCTGCACGGCGCGCTCGTCTGGCAGAGATTGGCAACATTCTCAAGTCGCTGGGGACCTCGGATGCCGAGTACCGCGCCAAGCTTCTGGCGGAGCGCACTTCCCTGCAGGAGCAACTGCAGTCCGAGAAGCCGCTCGAGAGCAACGTCAGTGCCCAGAATCGGAAGGTCACGGAAGCTCGGAAAAAGAAGGCCAACTGTGCTGCCAAGGTCCAGGCAGCCAAGGAAGCGGTCGAGAAGGCAAAGGAAGCCCTGGCCAAGGCCGAGGCAGCCGAATCCGAGGCCGCCACCAACTTGCTCTCCCTGGAGAATGAGCTGCGGGAAATCGTGGCGCGTGGACTTCCTGTCGGTGGCGAGGCGAAGCCGCCAACGCTCAGCACGGTCATCCCTGGCCTCAAGTCCACTGTGTCTCAGCTGGGCGAAGTGCTGCAATCTCTTGGTGGCTCTGAGCGTTTCGCTGCTGGCATGCAGGCAATGGCGGAGATGGTCGCAAAGTTGGAGCAGGAACCTGCAGCGGCGCACCAACCGCCACCACCTGCGGCCGAGCCCGACGACCAGGCCGACGAGGATGTTAAGGAGATGGCTGTCGATCAAGAGGAAGAAGCCAACAAGCACATCGACGAGATGGACGCGCCCACTTGCCGCGAGCATCTTCGCAGCTGTGGGCTCGATGTACCCGCGCCAGGCGACGTGGATGATGATGATGATGCTCCTGTCCTGCGTGATCGGCTCAAGCGGCATTTGGCCAATGCCCAGAGCCTCGCCAAGAAGCTCAAGGCCACCGCGAAGTGAGCACTTGGGTTTCCATCGTGTTACCGTGTCCATCCTACTTTGCTTGGCAATGATGACGGCTCAAGGTACCAACTTGGACGACTCTGACGTCGACCCGTTTCAGGACATCGATGACCCTGGTCCCTCTCTTTCGGGACGCTATGACATTTCTTTGGTGGATGGTGACTTACCTACGAGTGCGACGCACATGGGGCCTGCGGTTTCAGGCGTTCCATCCGCTTCGTCTTCCTTGTCGAGTTCGACGGGCTGCGGGCCCCCTGCGAAGGCTGCCCCCCGCCATGTGTGTGAACCCTCGGTAGGCTGGTGTTCTGCTTCGGCAGTGGGCCAGGACCGCCGTGCGAGTTCTCTGGGTTTGGGATCGGCTGGAGGGGAGCCCGCGAGTACCTCTTCGACCTCGGCCACGCGCGGACCTACGAGTACCGCGTCCTCGTCCAAACCTTTTGCCGCATCTATATCGAAATATAGAAGGCACATGCCGCGAATCGTCTCGCTCAACGGAAGCTCGTTCGGGCCCATCGTCGACTACGCGGTGCAGGCTGATTGCTCGGTCATGGCCGTCCAGGAGACGCATGTGGACCAGGTGCACTTGGCTGACAAGCAGCATGCCATGCTCGACGCGGGCTGGAAAGGCCTGTGGGCACCGGCCATTAGCAGTGACAGTGGCGCTGGCACTACAGGTGGCGTTGCTGTGTTGGTTCCGTCGTACATCACGGCCACGGCCCCGCCGCAGTGCGACAGCCACATATTGATTCCAGGACGCGCAGTGGCTTGCCATGTTCGATGGGGACTGCCAGGTGGACTCGTTGTCATCTCGGCGTACCTCAAGGACGGCGAGGGATTTGGTGCGGCCAATTGCTCGCATGTTTGGACCCTCGTGCAGTATGTGTGCGTGCTGAACGCGCTCCAGGTGCCCTGGGTCATTTGCGCGGACTGGAACATGGAGATCGACGAGCTCAACCAGTCAGGCTGGCTGGAGGCAGTGAGTGCCCTCGCATGCGTTCCCGTCCTGCCCAGCTGCAGGCACTCTCAGCCTGGCTCTTTTATTGATTTCTTCGTGGCTAGCAGCATGCTAGCGACTCGATTGCACAAGCAGGTTCATGTTGACGAGGAGGCCTCTACTTATCCTCACCTCCCCGTCTCCATAGGCTTCGCCGCGTCTGATACCCCGATGTGGGCCAGGGTACCCGATGAGCCCAAGCCTTTCCCTGCGGTGCCCCCTATTGGGTGCGCCAGGCCCCCTGTGTACCCTTGGAAGGCCGTGCTCGACGTTGCGGGCCCCAAGCTTTTGGCCCAAGGCGACCTCGCGGGGCTCTGGGACCTGGTCATCTCGGGGATCGAGTTCGAGTTGTCCTCTAGGTGGGACCGCATAGGGGTCTGCTCGGCTGGTTTCTTGGGGAGAGCGGGCCCGCCCAGGACGAGGTGGAAAAAGCTGGCGTGGGCCCCCCCCAAGACTCGCACTTACAAGGACCCCAGCACCAAGGCTTGGGCCACAGCTTTGGGCTGGGCGAAGCACCTCGGCAAACGTAGGCAGTTTCTCACCAAGGAGGTGGCAGGCCTCCAGGAGTGTGCAGCCATATGTGAGCTGACTCCCAACCAGCACGTCAAGCTACTGCGTGCGCTGGCCGATGCTTCCAATTTCATGATCAAAGTCGGTGCGTGCAAAAAAGTGCTGGCCAGGCTCGACGATCGAACGTCTGGTTTCTTTCAGTCAGGGTTTGCCGTCCTGGCCAGAGCTGATTTTGCCGAGGTTCTCACGCATGTGTATCTCACCGCCAAGGCCAAGATAGGGGCTGCCGAAGCCGCCGCGAGCTCAGCCTGGCTGGCCTGGGCCTGAGAAGCTTTCCAGAGAGGAGCGTCTCAGGCCCATAGGTTCAGCAAGGTGCGAGCGGCCCAGGAGGTCGTTGCTGCTGGTTCCAAGTCCCAACCCTTCCAGCTTGCCGATCAAGAGATGCAGCCATGGGCTGACATCTGGCGAACCCACGAGTGCTCTAAGCTTCCGCTCCCCGATGGGGCCCACGCCTGGCCCTCACTCCCTTGCATCACTGCCTCGGAGGTTGAGGATTGCATCCAGCAATTTAAGATCAACACGGCGGCAGGCCCTTCGCGGATTGCGCCCAGGGCTCTGCTCCACCTCAGCCGAGGTGCCTACGAAGGCATAGCGTTTTTGTTCAACGGATGCGAGGCCCAGCTAGCTTGGCCCAACGATCGAGTTTGGACGGAGATGGTGCGTTTGGCCAAGCCTGATGGGGGAGTCCGCTTGATAGCCCTCATTAACACCCTCTGCCGAGTATGGGGCAAGCTTAGGAAGCCTGTCACTTGTAGCTGGCAAGAGTCGCATGGTTGTCTCGAGATCTGGGGCACCAGGAAGCGGCATAGCTCCACGGACAGCGCTTTCGCGCACAACCTGTCCGCAGAGCTAGCGTCCCTGCTCGGCGAGATCTCAATTTCAGTTTTGCTGGATATGATCAAGTGCTTCGAAATGATTCACCCTGCCCAACTCATCAAGGAGGCAGAGGCTGTCAGCTTTCCGCCTCGCCTCGTGTGGATGCTCGTGGATTTGTACAGACAGCCGCGGCGTCTGAAGGCATTCGGAAGCCTTTCCGAGTCCCTCGAGGCTTTCCAAGGCATCCTCGCTGGATGCAGCCATGCCACAGGTATGCTTTTCGTGCTGACTTTTCGGGCGCTCAAGCGCCTCAACCAGATTGCCCCGTGCGTGACGCCGCGGGCGTTAGTAGATGACGTGTCGCTGCAGCTGGTCGCCACGACGCCTGACACCTTGCCGCAGCTCGAGAAGGCTGTACGGATCTTCAGGTGCGATGCCCAGGTACTAGGGCTGAACACCCAGCCCAAGAAGTCTGGTATCGTGGCGGCCTCGGGAAGGTCCAAGAGGTTGTTTCGGCTCGGAGCGGCGCAGCTCAAACTTCAGTTTCGGCCATGGATGCGAAACCTGGGGCATGAGTTGGCTGGTGGCAAAGTGTTGAGGCTACAGGAGAAGGCACGCCTCAAGTCTCTGAAGCAGCGCCGCCGCAAGTACATGGCGCTGCGCAGCGCCGTCGGGCGCAAAGCCTCGCTCTTGTTCAGAACTGGAGCGCTACCGGCCGCGGGGCATGGTGGCGGCGTATCTGGAGTTTCGGACGTTTCTCTTCGATATTTCAGACAAATGGCTTCTACCCTCGCAGGGGGCAAAAAACATGGTGGGGTCACAGCGTATCTCCTCGCTCACCGCGACCCCTATTACGATCCCATATTCGACTGCACGCTCACCATATGTCTCCGCTACGCGGCCTGGATCTGGGACAGAAGGGTGTGTCTTGGGAGGGCCCAGAGGGCCTGGGCCCAACTACGTTGCTACTTCGACGACAACCCGACGTGGCAGATAGCGAAGGGGCCCATGTCGGCCTGCTGGCTCTCCCTGCATCGTATCGGATGGGCCATGACCAGCGCTCACACGTTCCTCTCAGACACTAATTTCACGATAAACTTAGTCACGACTTGCCCGTACGACGTCAAGCTATATATGATCGAAGGTATTCAGAGGTGGCAACATCGTCGGCTGCTTCATCACATGCCCACGTCCCAGGGCACCGAGCAGGTTTGGCACAGAGCGTTGCGAGGAGGTCTTCAAGCGATTCGGTGTCCGCGGCAACTTGGTGCTCTCTCGGCCGTCATGGCTGACGTTATTCCTCTTCCAAGTGTGCGTGCTTCCCAGGGTTACCGCATAGGCCCTGAATGTCGTGTGTGTCAGGCTCCCCAGGGCTCCTACGGGCACATCTGGTACGACTGTGCGGGCTTGGTATTGGACGGAGTTGACGCGCTTGGCGAGCAGGTCCCCGACGAGATTCTGAGCCATAGGAATGCCTTAATTAATTCCTGTCTAGATATCTTGGGGAACCCGCAGGCCGAAACCACCTATCTCTCCTATGGGATCCCCTCGCTCTCTGTGGCTTTGGAGCCCCCCGAGGCCCACCCTCAGGTCCAGCACTGGGGGAACGTTTCAGGCCCGTGGGGGCCAACCTGTTTCGTCGATGGGAGCTGCCTCCAGTCAAGTCTCCCTGAGGTTGCTCGGGCTGGCTGGGCTGCGGTTCAATTAAGTCAAGATTTAATTCCAGTTCGTGCTATCTTTGGCGCCTTGCCTGGCGTGCGCCAGACCATCGGACGTGCGGAGCGGTGGTCAATACGTCAGGCCCTACACTATGCGCCTAAGGTGGAAAAAATTGTGTCCGACCTGCAGGCCAGCGTTCGTGAAGGCAACGCGTGGGACCCAGAGCAGGCTGCTGGTCTTGCCAAACATGCGTCGATTTGGGCGGACATTTTCAGGAACCAGCGGCACGACCCCCCCCAATTTGTTTGGTGCCCCGCCCACCTTTCGCTCGATGATGCTGTTGAAAAAGGCGTCTCTCTTGAGCATTGGGCGGGGAACCTATGGGCTGATTTTTTCGCGAAGCTCGGCTCGGAGTCCCACAGTTACGCGGATGGATTCTGTAAGGCCTTGGCGGGGGAATTTAGATATCATAAGTCCACTCTTAAGTTCTTGGCGTGGGCTGCTCAGAGGATGTTGCAGTCTCAAGCGTGGTCTGGTGATCCTGAGGTGCCTCTCGTCTCCTCTTTTCCCCCCCTTCCCCCCAAGCTGACGATCACCAGCCACGAGATCTGGCACAGCCAGAAGGTCGCCGTTTGGAGATGCCGTGTTTGTGGCAGGTTTGCTCGCAGCCTGGCTTCTCTCAATGCCATGCTCACTCAGAGAGCCACGCGTGATTGCATTGCAAGCCCCGTACAGCTCCTAGCGGCCTCTGAGTGGTGGAAGACTCATGCCTATGACCAGGGGTTCGCCCTGATGCGTTCCGAGGCCGTGCAGCTGGCAATGGGCGCCTCCCAGAGAGAGGCTGAGCTGTGTGGTCAGACCGAGGGGCCCGACAACGTGGGAGCGAAGGGCCCGTGTTCTCCTGTGCCCCCCTCGGGGCCCAGTGGGCCCGACAGGTTTCCCCAGTTTTCGGCCCTCGGTCACGACGTTTTTAAAAATTGTGACCATTTTTGCTGCCGCAAGTGCGGTGGGAATGGCACTCTCGGCAATTTTGTGAAGCTAGCCGCCAGATGTGTTGGCTTTTCGGCCGTGGCCTCCACGAAGGCGAACCAGCGCATGGCCATCAGGAGGATTGAGGCTGGCCTGCATCCGAAGACTGGCGTGAAGCTCTCTGCCCCCTCGGCTGGTCGGCCGCGCAGGCGTGGAGATGGCCACGCTGGCCCCACGGATGAGGGCAGGCCCGCCTCTGGTGAGCAGGTTGGACGCGATGATAATCGTGCTCCCTCCCCTGCCGCCTCCTGCCCTGTCGAGGGCCCCCCCTCCTCTCGATTGTCCTGTGGTCCTGGGGCCGAAGGCGTGAGAGGTGAAGGTGCTCTTGATGTGACATTGGGCGTGGTCCAGAGGCTGTCCCATAGTAGGACCGCCCGTCGGCCACTTTCGCCCCGCGTGATCCCCTCCAGAGGGGACGACGATAGTTCCGATTAAGTTTTGTTCGGCCCCGCCCCTCGTCGTGTCGTCGCCCGCGCCCGCCGCCCGCATACGCCCTCTTCCACTTCGGCGTGACGGAGTGCGGCGCGCAGGCGCCGCGACCCTCGGGGCTAGGCGGGGCCCATCCTTGTCCTCTCCCCCTGGCGCGCTCGCGCCCCGCGGGAGCTCATTGAACTCGGACCTCCCAGTCGAGCTTCGGCTCTTCTGGGAGGCGCAACGGCTGTGTGCCTCCCTCACCCAGCCTCCCCCCCCCCGAGTCTCGACCCTCGAGGGTCGCGGCCCGGGGGAGGGAGGCCGGGCGAGGGAGAGGCCTGGGGGCTCGCGGCTCGGGGGAGGGAGGCTGAGCGAGGAAG